ACTCCCCTCCCCCACCCCACCCCGGGTTTATAGCAAGACCCCCACCCCCACTTGAGTGTATTGCACCCCCCCCCCTTTTTCTGAGTATATGGCAGGACCGCTACGACCTCTTGAGTACATGGCAAGACACCACACGTGTCCTTGGGTACATTGCCCTCTCCCCCTTTCCAGTCTGTAGCAAGACTCCCACGCCCCACGTCCCCTTGAGTATATTACAGTTAACCCACAGAAAACTGAAATCGAGTGCACCACGATTAATTATTTAGAAAATTTAATTTGTGAAGGAGTAATTCAAAATGAGAATATTGTGTCCAAGATTTTTTAAATCCAAAACCAAACTAATCTCTACTAGGTCTGATAAATTATTATGGTAAATTTATTCAAACCCTTCCTGTTCTAACATTGCCAATGACAGAACTAAAAAAAAAAAAAACACACACACACACACACACAGCAGTTAAGAAGGTCAGATTGAAAGAAAACCCATGATAAAATTTTATTAACAATCAAAAAATTACATTTTAAAGTACCCAGTGTCGTATGGCAGTTTCGCCACGCACCTTTACTTCCGGATTACTTTCCCAAAATTCTCAGGTGCTCTGAGATAGGAGTGTTCTGAATGGTGGCTCTCGTTTGTCTAGAGGCCAAGCCCTGGGTTTAAACATCCATTCAGCCTATCTCAGGAATGAGGTGACTCGAGCTCTGACTCCTCAGGGTTAATACAAACTCTTGGGTACTACTTGGCCAGACATCCTCATTACTAATTTTGCCCCAGACTGGTAAAGAACGTTAACACAGTCGAATATATAAACAACAGTAAGTCTAACGAGACATGAATACACTTCTGACTGTGACAAATGATTCCAACGATATAACATTTTCAAGAATAGGAAACCTTGAGAACAAGAAACATTCTGTAATAATTTCACTAGGATAAAGGAAGACGAAATGCAGAGTAAAGCGAACCAGAACGATGGTTCACGTCCTCAACGAAATAGAATTAGAGAATTAATTTCCCAAGGTTGCCTCGGCCACCTCCAGACTCATCATCGCTTGGAGAATAGAGACAGATTACGAGGGCACATCCGGATTATGGCTGCCAAAGAGTTCCTTGGCTCTAATAACTTATCTGCGCCAGATAATGCAGCTCCTCTGTGTTCAGAATGGTGAGTCTCTGCAACTTCTCGATTCTCGAAGAGTCTCTGTACGACGATGATTCTCCCCACGGACCGATCGAAAGACGACCAAGACTTCCCGGAGACTTGTTGACGTCGACTTCACAAAGAGCCTGGCATAGCAGACAATGACAGGTCAAACGAGTTGGTTTCTCCCCAGTTGATAGTTAGCTGGAGAACTGGACTACCACACGGACGCGTGCTGGATCTTTAAACATCCTGCAAATAGCAAGGCAACACACATAAGCAAACCTCCCCCAATGTACTCCGCTAACCACACTCACCCCACTCTCCTTAAATGCTCAGAGGTAAATGTGGGCTAGTCTACACCAGTAAGGTTGACTTTATACATCACGGGAGCACCTACAGTTCCGTAGAGTGAGCACCAAAGCTAGTCCGACGTTTCTATTGACTCCAACAGTTTATGAATCCTGTTTCGTAGCGAAAGCCAGTCAGATCTCTATCAGTCCCCATCCACCTTTTTATTCCCACTTCACCAGTAGGTAAGATAAAGTAGATGAGACGGATATAAAAGACAGGATAGAAGAATAGACTCCAAAAGCTTTTCCAAACGCTGAGCTTGTTTTGTTTACAGTAGCTCCGTCATGCTTTCCTAGAATAGCGCTGCCCCTTTTCAACGGTCAACCAACTCATCAAGTTAAGAGATCAATTACAAGATCATAACCGATCATTCTAGTTTCTCAAGACATTAATTACACTCCAGACACGTGGATTGATTGATCTGAATAGCTTTAGAACGCAGGCTGGAAGAATTTACGAAGAAATTTTAGCCGAAAATTCATTTACTCCAGCGTTGCTATCGTCTCTCGTCGCAGGCGATCGTAGACAGAGAGATTCGCTTTATCATTCTTGTTACCTTTTCTCGCAAACACGTACAGGTCCTGAGCACAAATATATATATATATATATATATATATATATATATATATATATATATATATATATATATATATATATATATATATATACTTAAAACTTAAGTTATATATATATATATATATATATATATATATATATATATATATATATATATATATATATATATATACAACTTTTAGGAAAACTGACGAATGTTTTGAAAGAAAACGATTAACGATCAAGTGGCCGTAGTGCCAAGACACAAGCGTTCACTCGAACGGACTTAGTAGACATCAAGTCACGTTTTTAAAATATTGTTTAAAAATTGAATAAATCAAATGATGTGTAAATTGATGTTGTGTATGTACTATTTTAATATAGAATTTGTCAAAATAACAAATATAAATGCAATGATGTGTGATGTATGTGCTTTTTAATTTGGAATTTCTACGGATTAACAAATGTTAATAGTCATGATACCACAACTGTTATAAAAGGGACAGAAATCCGACAGAAAAACAAACTAAACCAGAAAATGTTACGTGAGCATAGAATTGTTTACCGATTATTAACTTATTCACGTAATATTAAGTTGAAATATTTATGCTGATCGGACATGTTGTATATTTCACAAGACAAGTCCAATCAAAGGAACTAACTGGTAGAACATATCTAGTTGAGAACATACACAATCTTTGAGACTTCCATGAAGGTGAATAGCGAGGGTGGGATTTCATTAGGGAACACTACCGTTTTCAAACCCAATTTTTGAACTTCCGCACTAAACCTGGAGTGCCATTGGTGTTGTTCTGTATGATACCAACTTTAAGACAGGGTGGTAATACCTGTGGAGCCAAATGTTTGATCTTTTACGCTTAATAGGGAGTGCCTGGGGTGAAGATCTCAAAGTATTTTCAGACATAGAAAGGCCTAACAGAGGATAGTTTGAATTTGTTGATATGTTAACTGAATGAAATGTGCTGCAACTAAAAGTTTTAGCCAGAACGTGTCCATTATGAGTCATTACAATCTAAAGTCTCTAACTAAACATATATTCGGCAAAGACATAAATAATGTTAATATTCTTGTACATGATAATGTAATTTTGAGTGTGCGTGAAGGGGGAGGGAGTGGGCTTAATGAGTCATTTTCTCATGAATTTAATGATTGCAATAATAATGAGGTTAGATGCTGAACATAAATTATGTACTTCAGTTCGATGAACTGGATTAAGGACGAAGCCAGATAAATACCTAAATGCAAGGCAAGCGAGCAGATTGACGAGTACATGCCAAATAAAATGCATCGTTTATTACTTTAATTGAATGACTGGGAAGATACGTGGGAGTGAAAGATTACTTAAGCCGAGGATAATTAAGAATGATCGAGTCTTATTTTCAGATCCAGGAACTGTGTGTTTGTCGGTGAAGAAAATGCTTGTTGAGTGAATCAAGTTACACAAATGGATGACTGAATTAGATTTGACTGCCAGTTCTGAGACAAAACTTGACTACCCGTTCGCTTTGACAATTCTGGTTAAGGCTGGACGTATTTGTATTTGTTCATCGTGGAAGGTTGTCCTTGTCAAACTGTCAGCTTGGGACTGTTTATGTGTGTTTTCTTAATGAAGATAATTATTCACTGATGTGTAAATTTTGCTATCAGTTGTCGAGCTGAGAGCTCCTCAATTTAGTGTGCACTGGGTCGGGGACCGCTGTGTGAACAAGTAAACATTAACATCTACTGAGTGTTCATCTCGTTCATTGATTGAACATTTGGAAGATTGGGTCGGTGTACATTTGAGGAGTCTGCAAATGTCTTGAGCCGAAAGACTGTGAAGAAATAGAGTCATTGCACCCACTACATGAGTAAATGGCAAGATCCCCTACCACTCCCTAAGTATATAGCAAGACATCCACATCCCTCCCCAACCTTGAAGTACGTACATGGTAATACTCCAACGCCGCTATGAGTGTATTGCACGACACCATCTCCAAACACTTGATTATGTGGCAAGACACCCCCCCCCCCCCCACCCTCGGTCCCTAACATAACAAAATAAGATTTAAATTTTTTTTTTAAAGGACGTCAATAGATTTTCCAATATGAGAAACAGATACGTTTTGGTCAGAATATTTTCTCAATCTAGAATTAAATGCGCGTGTTATCATCTTTTTTCCCCCCAGTTTTTAATGAATAATGCACAAACTTCATAAATCCCAAAATGCCACTGTGGTTTTGTTTATTAATAGTATTTTTTTTGGGGGGGGGGGGAGGTGGGGGGGGGGGGTGTGGTTTTTTTCTAATTAAAGTAAAACCAAACAACAACAAAACTGAAAGTATAGCAGATTTTTACAAGTACGGATGAGGACACTTTGAAAATTGCTTGACAATTCATTGCGCGAGACCAGTGTTGTAAATCTTCTTCTTCTTCTTTGTTCACTAGCTGTAAGCTCCGGTAGAATGTCCTGGTTCTTCGACCATTTTGACTCTTGCTTTGTTCTAGGGCCTGAGTTTGGCATGTACATCTGTTTTACTGGCTTCTTTTGTGTGAATGATACGGAAGTAACTTTTTTAAACGATGTATTAATTACAATTTTGAGAGTTCTTAATTTCTTTCTAGTGAAAAAGCTTCTACGCGAAAGATGGTTTTTACTTCTGCTAACTGTGTGGGTCCTCGGAATGCTTTTTATTGGATACACCGACAGACGCTATGATTCTTCACAGTCAGTCAATACCAGAGAGTTTTTTTAGCTTGGTGATGGCGTAGACAGACGAAGATGTACTTGTCCTTTAAATACGACAATAGTGGAGGCATGCCCCCATCATGGCAACACTTCTGCTGTACGTGTACAAGAACATCATGGTCAAGAGAATGCCACGACACCAAAGAAAGCTACTCGCGGGTGCAGCTTTCCAGACATTGACCCTTTTGAGCCGGGCGTGATGGCACTAACTGAATTCTTTCCTCCAGTCGGTTGCAGAGATGGGGTTCCCAGCTTGGTCTATGTGACTGGGGATACTATAAAGGTCAACCACTCGAAGACGTCTTTAGTCACGGGATCCAGTAATCGGTTCAAAGAATGTAGGTACAGATCTATAGCCAAGAAACCAGGTACTGACTTCGACACTGTTGTTCTCTATAACAGCACCTGGTTTAACGATTCGATAAACCTCAGAGACAACGACGATAACTTAGTCGTAGAGTGTTATGGCAGCGACAACTCTATTCTCTCAAGGTCCTATCATAGTTTGATTCGTGTGAAGAAAGATCTGGAGATGAAATTAAAGAAACGACTTCAGAAGCATATTGCCAAGAACTCACCTGCAGAGATTTTCAACGTTCTCATGATTGGCATTGAGGGGAACTCTAAACAGAATCTGCAAAGACACATGCCTAAAACTCGAAACTATCTCTTGAAGGTTCTAAATGCTATAGAACTAAAAAAATATAACAAAATAGGAGACCATACGTATCCAAACGTCATCCCTATTCTCACTGGAAAAACAGAAGAAGAGTTTCTACACCAAAACTGGAACTGGTCAGGGTTGTTTGATGACATTAATCATCAGTTTGTGTGGAGTGATTTAAGCAACGCAGGATACCGGACCGGTCTCTTTCTGGACACTACAAATAAAACGGCTTTCCACTTTTTTAAACGCGCCTGGGATAAGCCCCCTGTGGATTATTATTACCGAGCTACATTACTCGATCTGGAACGTGATCCACTCGTGAGATACAAAGTTCCCAATTGTGTTGGCGACACTCCTGAAGTTACCTATAACTTTAATTTCTGGACTCAGATGGCTTCTACCTTCACCAACCCGAAGACACATCCATATTTTGGATACAGGTTAGCGTCGCGTATTGTTTTGTTTTGACCTAATTTCTATGTTAATCTCTAACTCATTAACCTCATTTCTATGTTAATCTCTAACTTATTAACCTCATTTCTATGTTAATCTCTAACTTATTAACCTCATTTCTATGTTAATCTCTCACCCATTAACCTCATTTCTATGTTAATCTAATTCTGTACAAGTAGCGAAGTCGAGCCAAGCAACACACTAGGTCCTTTCATTCATGATTGCTGTGGTTGGTCTACGGTAGAGGGGTATCCCGGTGTACTGTTTTCTGCACACAGTGCTACGTGTTAATCGCTCTTTTGTGAGCAGCAGCCACCAAAATTGCGTTTTTACTCGCAAGCAGAATTAGTGTTTGCTGGTAGGTATATAACGGCCGTCTATGATTTTAAGAAGCACGTGAGTTTATTTCAAGTTTCAGCGTTGGCGGGCGACTAGGAGGGTACCGTTGCTTGTCTGGAGCAACAAAGAAGTCTGAAGCCACAGGGCGTAGAATGCACTCTCTCATCGGACCTAGGCTCTGTGTGTGTGGTAGGAGGGTTGGGGTTAGGGCCTGTTGAAGATGTAATGAGGTCGATACAACCGCTCACATCCTGTAATATAGAGCACGCTCAAACGCCAGTTAGAACGTCGACGCAACGCAACCTCTCACCAACCTGACACCCCTGCGACTTACGCGTCTCACAGGTTAATGATACAATAATTTCAAATCACAGTGTCGTGGGACCGAGTTCGTTACTCATCACAGAGTGTTGGGCCCAAGTTCGTTACATATTCCTACAACTCATTTCTTAGTGCTGACGTTATGACTGCTGTCAGGGGCCACTTTCAGAATCTGTTGTTCAGGCGTTGTCACCGCGCTTCGTAATGCCGTGGTGTCCGGTTCGATCCCAACTGCAGGCGATTTAGCAGGAGACTGTAGTGTGTTGGTTTCACTAACGGTATTTACAGTCGACCGTTCGTTCAGGCCGCAATGGCAAAGTACTGAACATAAATTTGCCTAGAAACACCAAAACAGTCCACCACCGCCCCCCCCCCCCTATCCCACCCCTCCACTTTTCCTTTTTAAATGTTGAGGTTGGTTTTGCAAAATCATGCAAACGCTAAGCAACTTTTACTGACTTTACACTATTTACTTTTTATCATAAAAGAATGTATATAATCTGTGACAGGAAACTGTGATTTCTCCAATGAAGGAAAGAGGCTTCATCAACTCAATAAATTAAAATATCTGGGAACAGTCATATCATCAGATGCAAAATGTATGACAGAGATTAAAAGCAGAATAGGTCAAGCGAATGCAGCATTTCAGAAAATGAAAAGTATCTTATGCAATAAATCGCTATTATTTAATGTTAGAAAGAGAGTGCTAAAATGTTACATAGAACATAGCAGCATAGCCCGTCAGCTGGAGCCAGTCTTGATTTGCTCGAGTTAAAGACATAATATATACCATGACCTTTGTGGCTAAGGCGTTACGAGTCCGACTCGTAAGCCAGCATACTGCAGGCTGCTTGGATTTTTGTCGTGGTATGGGGACGTATCAGGTCGACCCAGCCTAAAATGGGGACCAGGATGGGCTGTCCTGGGAAAGTAAAGACAGCCGGCGTAATACTGACCACATTACCCATAGAGAGCTGATGGTCTGTAAAAATATGGGACGCTCTGCCCATATGCCCGATGCGCCGAAAGGCGTGAAAAGGGAACTCTACTTTACATTGAATCTAAAAGAAATCTAAAATTATTCCCATCCGAGCAATTGCAGTCCTGAATTGTTATTTATTCCTGTGTGCGATCCCAAGATTCATTTGTTAGAGCAAGGAATAGAATCACTGTCCCCTCCTAGCAAGCGTATCGTAGGAGGCGAATAATTAGGGGTGTTTCGTTCATCAAACTAGGAGTGCCTTTTCCTGAGACGCCAAAACCCAACAATCTGCAAACTAATAAACCAGATATGTAAAACGGATATGCACGCAAAACTCGAGAACTGGATCAAGTCCGGAAGTGGAGGAGCAACCAGAACTTTCCGCCGGAGTTTACAGCCGGTGAGCGCTAAGAAGCAGAAGAAGAAGAAGATGATGATGAAGAAGAAGAAGAAGAAGAAGAAGAAGAAGAAGAAGAAGAAGAAGAAGAAGAAGAAGAAGAAGAAGAAGAAGAAGAAGAAGAAGAAGAAGAAGAAGAAGAAGAAGAAGAAGAAGAAGAAGAAGAAGAAGAAGAAGAAGAAGAAGAAGAAGAAGAAAGAAAGAAAGAAAGAAAGAAAGAGAAAGAAAGAAAGAAAGAAAGAAAGAAAGAAAGAAAGAAAGAAAAGAAAGAAAGAAGAAAGAAAGAAAGAAAGAAAGAAAGAAAGAAAGAAAGAAAGAAAGAAAGAAAGAAAGAAAGAAAGAAAGAAAGAAAGAAAGAAAGAAAGAAAGAAAGAAAGAAAGAAAGAAAGAAAGAAAGAAAGAAAGAAAGAAAGAAAGAAAGAAAGAAAGAAAGAAAGAAAGAAAGAAAGAAAGAGGAAGAAGAAGCAGAATTGTTACTTAGAAACAACAATCCGTCCATCTCACAGGTGAATTTGCTCTGATAATTTCCTATTACTGTTTCTTCAGTTTCTACAACCACCTAACCCATAGTAACTCGAACGGCGCCAGCGCCGGCGACGACCTCTATCTGCGCATCTTCTTAGAGCTAAAGCAGAGGAATATAATAAACAACACTATCGTCATTTTCTTCAGCGATCACGGGGCAAGAGTCGGCAAAATTAGGTAGGTTTTGTTTGAATCCAGTTCCTCGTGTGGGTTTCAGGACCCCCTTGTGGGGAAAACAAGAATAGAGCTACTGCTTACCCAAAAAGCATGTCGTAGGGATCAGCTAACTGGGGACTTCCTTTAAAGTCGTAGTGTATCTGCCCGAGGGAGTCCCCGTGGCGGAGAGGCTAGACACTCGCCGCGAATCGGAAGGTCGTGGCTTCGCTCCCTGGCGGAGTCGGACTTTTTTTTCTCCAAAAATAACCTTGGCGCCCAGGTCGACCCAGCCTTGAGTGGGTACTTGGTGCAGTCCCGGGAAGTAGAGGCGGCCGGCGTGATATTGACCACATTACCCATCTTGTGCCGATTGGTCTATAAAAAATATAGGTCTAGCCCTATATGCCCTAAACGCCTAAAGGCATTGAAAGTTGTCCTTTAGGAAGGGGGGGGGGTATCTGCACACACACACACACACAAAACAAAGAAACAAAAACATCTCTGAGGCCTCTTGTGTGCACTTTCGTCCTTGCACGTAACCAGTGTTGCCACTTTTCTTTGACAAAAAACATCCAAAACGGAGTCAAAAAAAAAATATAAAAACATCTAAATTTGCGTGTAAAACACCTAGAAAAAACATCCAAATGGAAAGAGTAACAAACTACATAGCAATTGATATAGCTTACCCTAAAGAATCATGTCCTTATCTTTACTGAAGTCTGCCTTACAAGATCCACAGGATTATCTTAGCTGGATGATACAGTTAAATCTTCAGATCCAAAATGACTATGGTATGCTTTAGCTGTTCAATTTCTTTTAAAACCCAATCAGTGAACTGATAAGTGGAACAGCCTTTTCCTACTCTTATCAGGCCGAATTTTATTGTCCAGATAGCATTTAAGAAGTCAAATTTCATCCTGTTTCTTCGGTTAGATTTTATAAATTCACTCCAAATGAAAAACATCTAGAAAAAACATCTACCACCTAAACGTCAAAAACGCCATCTAAATGCAAGAAAAACATCTAAATCTGGATGTAAAATTTCCAAAGTGGCAACACTGCACGTAACCCAGAAACAATTTTAAAAGAAGATTACCATCTGACCTAATACGGAGATATATCCTTTCCGTGGCTGTCCACGATGCACGCCTCTGTAATGTATTAAAAAAGATGGCCAACAGCGTGAGAGCTAGGACACATCCTTGCTTAGCTCCGTTATAAATCTGGAAGTGTAGAGACGAAGAATCCGCGTATATTATGGTTCCCTGCAATTTCTCGTGAAAGGATTTAATAAGGCGTAGTAGTGTAGGTGGGCATCCGTATTTATCAAGGATCCAAAACAGACCATCCCTGCTGCCATAGACAAAGGCCTTAGTGAGATTTGTGAAGGCAATAAACAGTGGCCTCTGTTGCTCTCTGCTCTTTTCTTGTAACTGCCTGTTGGAGAAAATAATATAAACTGTTGGTCTCTGCGCCCTAAACCCACACTGTGATTCCGGGTATTATCTGTCCGCTAGAATTTGCAGCCTCTTCAGGATAACACGAGCAAAGGCTTTTCCCACATTACTCAATTGCGTGATGCCGGTCGTCAATGTTGGCGGTGCCCGGATGTGATTACAATTGATCGCGTGGGCAACTGCTGATCTGTTGGCGACAAGTTCTGCTATCATCAATGATGAACTGCATTTCTAATGTTGGACTGTTTGTGCTAGCACTTCGGATGGCTACCGTATGCTTTAATGCGAGTGTATGCTAGATATGCTGAGACAGCAGTCTGTCAATCTTTCCACAAGGGACTGTGATAGACATTCTGAGTGTTTTTTCGCTGGCACAGGAGCGGAGCAAAGATGGGGCGACCCGTTTGCTATGAAGCTGAAACTACGACTACCAGACCAGACCAGACTCAATTGAGAGATGTCGCGATAGTCGTTGCAATCGATTGTGTCTCCATTATTTTTTATAGAGAATTAAAATGTTAGTTAGCTTTTCCTATCGTGAGGCACCGATTTTGTTTGCCAGCATTGACAGAGAATTTTCTGCAGCACAGGAAGAATAACATCCATTGAGCATTGCAGAATCTCAGACGGGATACGATCTTCTCCTGAGTCCTTCCCTGAGGGAAACCCACCAAGTGCTACACCAATTTCTGTGATGGAGAGTTCCATATCTAGTGTGCCCATGTTTGGCTGACACTCAACTACGTTTAGCGGTGTCAATGGCTTAGGCGTTGAGAGTCCGACTCGTATTTAAACGTACCGCGATCGAAACCCACTGCTGGCTGCATAGATTTTTTTTATCATGGTATGGGGCGTCGCAGGTCGACCCAGCCTAAAGTGTGTACCAGGATAGCACATATGGAAAGTAAAGACGGCCGGCGTAATACTGACCACATTAATCATCCAGTGCTCATTGGTCTGTAAAAATAGGGGACGCTCTTCCCATATACCCGATTAGCCTAAGACGTGAAAAGGGATCTTTACTTTTTTTTTTTTTACAACTGCGTTTTCTGTGTTTAAGGCTGAATGTCCTGGAGCAATAATTTTAGTCTCATGAATGCATTCATTTTTCAGTATTTAAACAAAAGTGATTTTTGAAAAAAAAAAAAGATCTTAATACTGTTAACTAGAGAGAAAACTAAAACGTACCAAAACATGGGGCGCGGTACAAAAAGTACAGTTCTGCTCGACAAGCGTCAAATAGTACAAGATGTGTACTACAGTACCAACTTTAGCCACCTAGGCGGGAGATCTTATAACGCTGTCGTTTTGTTCGCCCAAGTTACGGCTTCTTTGATCTGTCCTTCCATTTCTGATGATCTATCATCTGCATTTGATGTTTTCATTTTTAAGGCCCATCAAATTGGCCAAAGTTTTGGGTCCAGGTCTTTCTTGGTTTGACTGTTTTAAGTTTCCTGCAATATAGTTTTGGGAAGGTTAGTAATATTTACGACCTACCCACACTGCGTGTTATTATATTGTTAAAATGAACTCGCAGACTCCAATGTATTGAGTACTGATTTGACAAACTTCGTCATTTGTGCTGTGATCTCTGTATAAAGTGAAAAGTAAAGTAAAGATCCCCTTTCAGGCCTTTATGCGTATCAAGGGCGCCCAAAAGTTTACAGACCATCGGCACTAGGTGGGTAATGTGGTCATCATTACGCCGGTCGTCTTTATTTCCCAAGGACCGCCATCCTGGTACCCATTTTAGGCTGGGTCGACCTGCAACGATACCATGATGAAAATTAACGCAGCCAGCAGAGGGTTTAGATCGCGGTACGTTGGAATTACGAGTCGGACTCGCAACGCCTAAGCCACGGACGCCGCTGATCTTTGTATAATACACTAATAATCTTGTAAGTTATTTTCACTTCGGGTGCTTGATTTTTTTTCCAGGCGCGAACATACAAAGTCCACGTTTCAAAGGTATGTGTATAGATGATGATGGATAGTGCACTGACCAATGCTCGCGTGTGTTTCATGTTTAAACCTCCGTAAACATTTATTTTTTAGCTGTGATTGGTGTTTTTTATTCAGTTCTTGGCATATTTTTTCTTTCTTTTCTAAACTGGTTCCTGTTAAAAAGATATGAAATAACCAAGAAACCGACTACCGTCATTTATCTAAATAATTCTGCAACATGTGTCTATCATTGTCATTTCAGACACACCTACAACGGAGTGATAGAATCTATGATGCCTCACGTGTTTCTGATTCTTCCACCCTGGTTCCGTCGGAAATATCCAGACGTCTATAGAGTGCTGGAATTGAACCAAGAGCGTCTGACCACGAACAAAGACTTGTACATGACACTTCAGGTTGTTCTCAACTTTCAGGGCAAGCCTGGGATTGGCAACATCAAACAAAAAGGGATAAGTTTATTCAACGAAATCCCACGTGAGAGGACATGTGACGATGCTGGGATACCCTTTGAGTTCTGTGTCTGTAACAAGCTGGTGAAAGCAAATGTCAGTGCAGATTTGACAGTCAGCTTAGCAACAGAAGTTACCAATAGGTTATGGTATTATTACGATAGACATGTCAATATCTGTAACCGTCTTACGTTAAAATATGTACACAGTGTCTGGGAAATACACCTTGACCATGAAGAGAACACCAGAGGAAAGTCTATGTACCAGATTATAATATCAACCACCCCGAACGATGCTCTCTATGAGGCTAAACTGGTCTTTGACAACAGTACCAAAATTATTACGGTGGTCGGCGATGTTATTCGCCTGAACATGTACAGAGGTCAGGACAATTGTATGAACAACCCAAAGTTAAAACCTTTCTGCCACTGTCGTGGCTAAAGTTGTGGCAATTAATCCTCACAAAGCATATTCTTTTGCTTCTTTTTTTTTTCCAGCTTTGATATACCTTGTGGTTCATTGCTGCAAATATCATCCGCTTTCATTTATCTCTGTGTTTTCTCCAACTCTTTCCAGTTGGTGAGTCCAAGTGTTTTGTAGTTTTGTAGGTATATTATCTCTCCATATTCTTCTTGCTTTGCCTCCTGTTCTAGTCCTATTCAGATCTTTTGTGTACCTGGTGTGTTTTTCTATTGTTTGTCATTCTTTCTACAAGCCCCAACCATTGCAGTTCAAACATTAGCCATTATCATGCAGTCAGTAGCATGTCCTTTGCAGAACTTTGTTCCTACAACAAGTCTCCAGAAAACTTCTTGATCACAAGCAAGATGTACCGCTCCCGATAAACCTATCTGGAAATCATCCGCCACATCCTGCGCCCATCTCTTCTCTTTGGCTTTCCTCTTCCTCTCTTCCCAGGCATATACCCCTCCATTATTGTTCTCTCTAAACTTTCGTTACGTTTCAAGTGACCAAAATATTTCAATTCTCTGTGTTTAATCGTCTTTAATAGCCAACATTCTTCAATATTCAGTCTGTTCAAGATCGCGTTTTAATAGGTGGTTCAGGAGGCTTGCAGTAGCGGTTCTGGTCCAAGATGGCGGAATGTCAGTTTGTTAGCTGAAGTGTATTTTACTAGGTATATTGCAATTTTTGTATGCTGTATGACTGACTGACTTTCTACCCCACTAGAACGTCACACACGCGATAAACACCCGATGACACAATGTGCCACCATGTGGGTGAGGATCACCGTGGAGAGGTCCCAGAAACCGCGTACAGACAGTTGGCCATATTTATGGCCTGCCTATATTGCGGCCCCTGGCAAAAGCCAAGGTGGGGCTTCAAATAACAAAAAATTTCGTCCTGAAAAGGACGAAACTGGATAAACCAGGTATTTATTAAATATTATTATGTACTATTCAAAAATTTAAGCAACAACTTGAAAAAAGTTAAACAGTTTTTAAAAAGATTGAAAAATTTCAAAAGTGGAAAAGTTAAAAACGTTTAAAATGTTGAAAATTAAAGGACTTAAAGGGAACATTGTAGTTGTAGGATTTAGATAGCAAATAGGCAGGAAGCTGAGGGAAGTAAACAAGAATGTGATAGCAAGTCTAAAATATAGCATCCCTTAGTTTACCACCATTTATGCAAAAAACTAGACAAGAACAGGCGTCGTCAGGATCCCCTAGCCATTGTTAGTTGCGTATCCTTTACAGGACGTTGCAGAACCAACCCTAACAGCCCCTGGCTGTTGTGTGGTTTCTCTTGGCAAATTTACGTCCAGTAGTTTGCCATTGCTTCCTGGACGGTCGGCTTTCTTGATACCACTGTCGAAACCAACGCAAGGCGCATTGCCCGCAACTGGGATCGAACCCGGCATCCCGGCATTTCGAAGCGAAGCGTTCGCATCGACTTAGCCACAGAGCCGACCCCTAGCCATACAGAGTGAAAATTAAAAATTATGGCAAATTGGTTTGTGTTCTGTTATAGTGTTAGGTACCGGTGGATCACTGAGGGGTCAAGTTGTTTTGTCAGCTAGTTACATAAGGGGTTTTATGGATTATATGGCCCTCTGTGGCTACTGTGTTGTGACTTTATATAGAGGAAAAATTGAAAATTAGAGTAAATGAGGTGGGTGATGTGTTGACATGCTAGGTGCCGGTGGCTACGTAAGGGGGTCAAGTTGTCGTGTCAGCTAGTTGCATGAGGGGTCTTAGGGGTCAATGGGGGTCACGGGGTATAGTGCTTTATATAGAGTAAAAAGTGAAGTTATGACAAATTGGTTAGTGTCGTTTCTCATCATTGGGTGCGTATGATCAGTGAGCGGGCGTTTCATGTAGCGGCTAGTAAAATGTGGAGTCTAAGGACCACTATGGCATATGGTGCCATGACAATTTGTGTAACAAAATATGACAACTGAGTAAATTGGGTTGATGTCCAGTCACAATGTTAGATGCTGATGTTCTGTGAGAGGGTCAAGTCGTCTTGTCGACTAGTTAAAGGAGTGATTTATGGCCTAAAGGACACAATAAGTCGCCAGTGTACCGTTTATCTTGGTCACCGGTCTTTCTAAGTGGTTCACCAGCGTTCCTTGATAAGTTGCTCGGTGTACTTTTTCTTTTCTTGTTGGTCACGGGTTTTCGTAAGTCTTTCACTGAAGTTTCTTAGTAAGTCAACGACTAGCATCGGGACAAATAAAAGCTGGTTATGTCTTTCGTAAAGTGTTCACTGTCTTGGGACATATTAAATCGTTTGATGTCTTTCTCATTTAGGACACCTTTAGTCACTTAAGACACTTTTCACATCGCTCACTGATCTTGGTCAGACATTAGCCCTGAAACACACACCTTAAGTCGTTCGACGTCTTTCTTTTTTGAGACATCTTAAGTCGCTCAGTGAACGTAGCAAAATTTTACTTTCCTTAGTAGGTCTTAATCGATGTTCCTGGGTACTGTCATTATGACAACCTTAAGTCACATGATGTCTTTCTCCTTTGTAACACATTAAGTCACTCGTTTACTGATGTTTCGTGGTTAGTCATTAGTTAGTATTGGTACTATTCAAGTCACTAAGATGTCATTTCTCTTGGGGACATCGCAATGCTTCTTTGCAACACCTTAAATCACTCAATGTACGACTTGAATCTGTCACTAGTCTTTACAAGTCGGTCACTTAAGTTTCTTAGTTAGTCGTCGACTGTCCTTGTGACACATCAAGTTACTCTATTATATCTTCTTCCTTTAGGACACCTTAACCAATTCAATGTATGGCACACGTTTTTCGATGGCTGTCCCTGGTGATTCAGACTCAGGGTGACTTTTAGAAAATACAAGGCGACTTTTAAAAAACATAAGGTGACTTTTAGGAAACAAGAGCCAACATTTTGTCCAATCGCCATTTTTAAGATAGCAAGATAACTGTCACGAAGAGAAGTTAAGAAGCCTTGCAAGTGTATATTAAGATAAAATCGTTTGTTATAAGAGGCGAGGGCTCAAAGACAACTTATTACGAACATCAGAGACATCATTTTTTTTTTTTTTTTTTTTTTTGACAATGTTATGAGAAGAATATGTTGTGACCACTAGAAAGGTCTGTGGAAAGAGAGACAGAATGAGAAGATTCTTGGCAGCCTTTAATCATGGCATGGAGGGGTGTCAACACTCGAACTGATACACGCAGTTGCAGATCGCAGATTGAGTTGAGTTGGGTTACAAATTGACATCACCGCACTCGGGGCATTCCCATGCATGCTCCATCCTCATCTTCAGCAGCCAGCGCAGAGTTCCAATAACGATGGTACCGGTCACAATTAGGTTAAATGTCCGTCTTGCCTTTCCTCTGAGTGTAGTCAGCCGGCCAGACCCTCTGGTTACACCCAGGTGCCTCATTCTCTCCAGGCCATAATAATCTTCTTTCTCTACTGATTCCGTTGCTTGTTCCCATAGGGCCTTGTTATGTATCAATTCACCATCCAGTGGTGCAGATACAGCCAGTCTGTCTGCCTGTTCATTACCCACCACGCCGGCATCGCCTGGAGAAAAGATCCAAAGTGTGCTCACTATCTGTGACCTTTTTTTAGTGAAGCTTGCCACTCTGCTCGAAGCACCCCTGTCTTCACCTTTTTCATCATGCTTTCAGAGTCTGTTACAATTATGACATGTGTATTCATCTTGTTCCCTAGCTATCAGAGAGCTGCAGTTACCGCCTCCATCTCCATTCTCATGCCAGATGTTGTGGTGTCATATGCTAGGCTGCCGTGCACTAAAGATTTTCCATTGGCTTTCGCTACGAACTCCCAGGCACATCTCTTTCCTTTCAACACCGAACCACCCGCATAGATAATCTAACCACTTGGGCGTGAATTGTAGTGAATCAACTGTTGGACTTCAACCCCCATAGCACCCGCTGGCCACTCTCTGCATACCCGGCCTAATTTGATCATAACTCTATACAGGTCAGACTTTTTCGCTGGTACTCTGACCTACTCCTCTCCTAGCCCAATGTTCTCTAGCATGCATACTTGTCGTATTGTGTCTTCTGCTTGAGCCATTCACGATTGTCCCATTTTCAGCCTCTGACCCTTGCCTGCAGGCAAACCTTCATACAGAGGGTGCAGCTACTCTGAGGTATGACTTAGCCTGTAGCGCCTTTAGCCTATCTGCAAAAGTCGGCAATGCAAGGATGTACCGAGTACACACAATCGGGGTGTCTCTTGTACAACCAAGGATCAGCGGTATAACTTCATTCTATATGCGCTCAAGTTTCTCTGGCTGACTCTTCAAGACAATAAGTAACCCCGATCAATAATAAATCACTGAGATGATTAAGTGCTGGTAGATAGCAGATTGTGCAGAGGCGAGATTGGCTACGCCAGTAGATAAGGCACTTGATGATAATGAGATGCTGGACAGGATAGCTCTATCAAGGACAACAGGATTAGGGATTTACTGCTTCTCATTTGATGTTTAACAACTTTCTAATACAGATAGCGTGGAAGTGATTGAACCTCATAGCGTGGTGCTGGTCAATGGTCCGTGGTTCACATGCTGGAAGGATACGCCTAAAAACTATCGATGACCCAGCTGTGAAAAAAAGTATCAATAGATTGGGTGACATCTAAGGTTTTCTTGTGTGCAATTTGAACAATTAAATTCAGTAAATTACAAAGACTCTGAATGTTAAAATTATGACACAATTATGTTCCTTTTGGTAGCCATGTGCTTTTATTTAGTTTTTAATTTAGTTATTTTTAATTGTTTGTATTTTTTTTATATTTGTAAACAGTATATTTTACGGATTGACTGAAGCTAAGAGATAAAACAAAACAAATGTCGACAGCATTTTATTTAGTTAATACAATGTTTTATAATTGCAATGTTCAACTAATGCAACATCTGCTCCTTCAAGGTTAGACACTCTAACAATCGGGACTGGAGCGT